TTTTGACTTTCTTCGCCCGAAAATAAAAATTTTCGAAATTTTTACCATGGTCCCTAATACCCTCTGCAAGTCCAATTAGGTGGGTTAAACTATCCAATTTGCTTTAAAACGGCCAATTTACCAGTTTACAATTTGTACCGATTTCATTAAATCAAGCCTACCACGAATATTTATGACAACATATAATGATCATAAATGGCTCCAAACGGCATTATACGACCCCTAGATGTATTACGACCGCCTTAGCGGTCGCAATTTTTGAAAATTACGACCGATTAATGACCGGTCGCAATTTTGCGATCGCTTTTAGCCATCGCAACACAATTAATTTTTTTTTTTGAAAAAGGAAGGGTATAAAAGGTCAGCTAACTAACCCTAAAACTGAAAACGCCGCTCGTATACAAACTTTCCTTTCTCTCTCTTCTCACTCTTTTCCACTTCTCTTTCCTTTCTCTTTTTCTCTTTCCTTTCTCTAAATCAAATAGGAGTATAATTTACCATCAAACTAACATTTTCCTCTTCAATTACCCCTAAAAAATCAAGAAAAATTATTTTATGGTTTCCGATTTGTAACATTTTGGAGGAATTTTAGATTTGTAACCCTATTCTCTTATATTTTCTCACGCTTGGCCTCTCAACCTCCCTCTGTTACTGTTTCAAATTTTGGTATAAGGGTTTGAGCAACAGGTGAATTTGGTGTTAATGGTCAAATTCGACCATAAAAATTCTAGATTTGGAGTTTTTATGGTCGAATTTGATCATATAACCCCAAAGAGGAAGAATTATTAGGAAAGGTATGTTGTTTTTTCTGAAATTTTTTTTATTTGTCGTTGTTTTTGTTCTAAGTTTTAAGATGGGTTTGAATTTCTTTGTTCCAATTTAATTTTTTTTGGTTGTTTTGGGTTGAAGATGACGGTGGTTAAAGGTTTTTAAGGTGGGTGGCGGTGGTGGTAGGTAGAAGTTTAAAGTATGTTTACGCATTGGGTGGAAAATGGCAGTGGGGCTAGGTAGGAAGTGCAGGCAGTGGGATGCATTCGTTTTCATTTTTTTTTCAAAAACTTTTGCGACCGCCTTGGCCGTCGCAATTTTTTTAAATTTGCGAGCGCTTTGGCCGTCGCAGTTTATTAAATTTGCGACCGGTTTTAAAACAGTCGCAATTGCGACAATTTTACATCCGGTCGTTGAAAATAAAGAAAGCGGTCGCAATAAAATTTGCGACCGTCAACCAGTCGTAAGTATGAATTTTTGCGACTAAGTAAATAACGACCACCCGTTGCGACCATTGGCGATCGCAATTATTTTCTGCGACAGTTTTTGCTATTTTCAGTGGCCGTTTGTGACGGTCGCAAAAACCTTCATTTTTAGTAGTGGATGTATCCCCTAAAATATCAAGACTTTTCTAAACTAGGCCCCCGAAACCTCCAAATTTTTTTTTAAAAACGTGGATATTAGCCTTCAATTTTGGAATTTTTTGACTTTTTTCGCCCGGAAATAAAAATTGCCAAAATGTTGACCATGGTCCCTAATACATTCAGGGAGTCCAATTGGGTTTGTGGAATCATCCAGTTTGTTGTTGAACGACCAACTTACCGGTTTACAACTTGCACCGATTTCATTAATTCATCGTAATACGAACATTTATGACAACAAATAATGATCATATATGGTTCCAAACGGCATTATATGACCCCGAGATATATTCCATAAAATTTCAAGACTTTTCGACACCCGTGGATATAGCCTTCAATTTTTGAATTTTTTGACTTTTATTTTTTCCCGGAAATAAAAATTGCCGAAATGTTTACCAAGGTCCTTAATATCTTACGGGAGTCCAATTGGGTGTGTGGAACTATCCAATTTGCTATTAAACGGCCAATTTACCGGTTTACAACATGCATCGATTTACCGGTTTACAACGGCCAATTTAATTAACTTGCTAAGAACATTACTTGAACCAAAATTGACCCTAACCCGTTTTTAACCCGTCAAAACCCGAATCGTTACTAACCTGTCCTGAATTGACCCCGACCCGTTCCTAACCCGACCCGAATTTAACCTAACTTGTTACAAACCCGATCCGAAATCAACCCGATTCAACCCGCCGACTTGTTATTGACCCGACACAAATTTGACCAGACCTATTACTTATCCGACCCAAAAATTCAACCCGATCTGTTACTAACCCGACTTGAAATAAACACGACTTGTGATTGACCCGACCTAAATTCAACCCAAATTGTTCCTGACCCGATTTCAAATCACCTTATATGCAATTTAGACCACCTATTATTGTTGATCAAAGCATTTTGTCTAGGGAGACAAAGTCGGTCCAGGCCAGCAAAAGAAAGGAGCATCATCCTCAAATTTAAGAGTTAAATATAGTATATATTTGTTGTATAGTCAAAGGAGATAATTGTCTTCCTAAATTATAGACTATAGTTCCCTAGTATATATTGTCATATATATTATAGTCAAAGAAAATAATTAGCTTGATAAAAATCATAATTATCTATTTATAGTTAGTTGAACCCGAATATGACCTGACTTAAAAATGACCCGACCTGATTGTAACCTGCAAATTATTGACTGAACATATCCCGACTTGAATCCAAGAATGACCCGACTTGAAATTGCCCCAACCTGATTATAACCCGCAAATTATTTACTTGAACCCGAGAATGACCCGACTTGAAAATGACCCGACCTGATAATAATCCACAAATTATTGACTTGAACCGAACCCGACTCAAACTCAAGAATGACCCGACCTGATTATAACCCGCAAATTATTGACTTGAATCGAACCCGACTCGAATCCGAGAATTACCCTAACCCGTTTTCACCCGTGAAAACCCGAATTAAACCTGACCTATTGTTCACCTGACCCGATTGTAACCCGATCTGTTATTAACCCGACCCAAACCCGATAAGAAGTATGACCCGACGTGAACCGACTCAAGCATGATCCAACCCAAACCCGACCCGCATAGGTTATGGAATTAATCAAAATTGACCCAACCCGAGTTGATCGGACCCAAACCCGACCCGTTTACCCGAATTGACAGCTCTAAGTTAAACCAGTCAAAATTTAGGGGGCGTTTGGTTAGGGGTAATAATCAAAGGGAAAGGAAATGAACAAGGCTCGTTCCCTTTGTTGTTGTTTGTTTGGTACTTCCTACTATTCCATTTGCCCACTTTTATTTTTTAGTTTACCCAAATATGTTCTACACTGATTCCCCCACCTTCCCCTAGACTTTTCCGTTCCCATTCCCCATTTCATTACCTATCACACTCTCTCTCCTCTCAAACCCTAAAACACCCAATAGTCGTCACCCTCACTGAATCTCCGGCCACCACGACAGCCATCGAACTACGTGCACCGGCGACAATCTCTGACTACCACCGGCGATAATATCCGACCATCGTTCTACATGTTCTTGTTCTTTGGAATTCATATTTTATACCTTAATCAAGCCGCCTTTTTTTTTTTCTTTTTTCATGAATTGTTAAGGAAACTACACATTATTCCTATTGTTGTTAGAATTATTGTGTGTAATTGATAGTTGTTGTTGTACTTTTGTTCAAGGGTTTGATTTAATTTTTTTTTTTTTTTTTTTTGGAAGGATGAATAGTTCATAATTTTACCTTTTTTTAATTTTTTTTGTTTAATGTTGGCGGACTATCAATTACCAAAAAAAAAAAAACCAATGTTCAATTACCAAATTTTTTTTATTTTTTTTATTTTTATATATACCAATGTTCAATTTTTTTTTTGGAGACTTTATTTCTGTTAGATACTACAATTTTTTTTCATAATTTCTGTTGGGAATTTTTTTTTAAAAACTCATAATATGATTCGTTTTGAACCAAACAATAACAAAAGGAATCAATGAGTAGTTCATCCCGTTTGCTAGACACAAGTACACAACCAAACAATCATATGATTGGTTTTTTGTTTTTTAAAATCATATGATATACTACCTCCGTTAAATGTTATGTGCAACTTTGGAATATTTTATATCTCACAAATAATACCCCAAAGTTGCATATAACATTTAACAGAGGTAGTACTTCATATAATGTACAAAAAAATTAGAGATTGTTCACATTTACTTAATTTCAGATTAGTTCAGCTTCAATCAGTTCAGCTTTAATCAGTTCAGTTTAGTTCAGTTCCTAATTTCCCTCTCTCATAAGATATTCATTTCAGCTCAGTTCAGCTCCAATCAGTTCAGTTCAGCTCAGCTCAGTTCAGTAAATGTGAACAGACCCTTAGTCAAACTTGTTAAAATCTTAATAGTTTTGAAAACTAACAACAGAAAAGTGGAAACAACTTTTTCTTGTTTCCTATTTTTGGTTTTTTTGTTTCAAAAAGAAGTGGAAACTGAAAATAAAAAACGAAGCCAAATACTTCTTTCATTTTATTTTTTTTAAAAAAAAAGAGTCATGTGATATGAAGGATAGTACGAATTTATTAATTAAAAAGGAAGTTAATGCATTTAATTAAATTAAAACTTTCATACTAAGTATATAGATAGTGATGCATCTAGAAAACATAGGAACAAAACGGCAAATAGCTCATGTCATTTTATTTATTAATTTATTTATTTTTTTAGACACATAAAGTCAGGGTTGTGGTTTGATGGTAGGGTTTTTTCTTCGCCTTGCTCGGCTGCTGGCAAGAAGCTTTAGTGCACCAGTTACCAGGCACCAGCTGCCAGGAACCATAATTTACCGGAAAATCAGAATCTATTCACAACTCGTGATAAACTTGAGCCACAACATCTGATCAGAAGACTGATGCCTAATCAACGATCTCGAGGAAATCGATTTCACCTCTTTTTTCCAAAATACACATACTGAGAAATGGCTCTCTGCCTTATTGAGGATGGGAGACTAAGATTGAATGTGGTTTGGGTAACATTACTTTTATTGCAGGGAATATAATTATAACCATAATGTAGTCTATCTAACACAATATGAGAAGATTGAGAACTGAGTTGCAGCCAAAGAACAGGATTTACCATTTTATCTGCATTGCATATACACTACTTAAAACATTCATCAAGGGCTACAACATGTCTCGCAAAATTAAAATCACTACACGACTTGTACACTGTTCCAAAAGTTATCAAAGGCCATAATTTCAAGTCTTGCAAAATGTATACCCAGATAACTTAAGCAGCAAAACAGCAGTTACTGCAGTGAAACACGACTGCCACAACGCACGAACATTGGAACACCAAAATGTAAGAGAGCATCAGCTCAACCTTTCCTCCATTTTCTCGATAGCTTTCTCTATAGCCGGCACATTCTTATAGAAGGAGGACCACTGCTCAGCTGTTAAGCTAATTCCTGCACGTAGTAGGACAGTATATTTTATATACTATGTACATATAGCAATGAAAGGACAGCACATCCCGAAAATGTTGCATATTATTTGGTCAAAAAAGAAAAAAAGTTACATATTATCAGCACAAATACGCAATCCTGAATACATTCCTAGAAGCTTCATGATGACACATTATCAGCAAAATATCAAGAAAACTGTACATACAATTCTGTTGAAATTTATATGCTTCACACTCTTCAATCTTTTCATCCCAGGTTCAAAATAACAATTATTCTTAATAACAGATCAAAACCCCTTAATAATAACAAATCATAATAATCCATCAAGTTTACAAAGCATGACTAACAAACCCCTTGATACTTCCAAAAACAAGTTAAAAGACCAGCTTTTCAGTTGAAGCCAAACACTTGACACTTCTGGAAAAACAAGTGTGAAGAATACGCATTTTCCAGGGAAATGCAAAGGATAATGAATCTAGGAGGCAAAAAATTAAAACCTATTTACAGAATTAGATGATACTCTGAAGCTGAAATTCTTCATTACTCAATCTGAGAGATATATATAAATACACACACACATAAGCTGCTGCAAACTTGCAAGGAAACACAGCTCATGTGTTTAACACCTTACAGCAGGTCCTCCCGATAACATATTTGAAGTAGTTTGATCTTTCCCGAAAAAATTACTTTCCACTTAAGTATCATCATCTAAGTTTTTGAGAATCTCTGAGGACTGAGAGGGATGGTGTAACTAGAAAATGGTGCTAGACTGGAGAAGGATCCAAAGGAAAAATGAACAAAGTTTCAAAAGGAAAGAAATTTATGACGGTTTTCAAAAGCTCAAAAAATGCTGCAATAGTTTCAACTTGTTCAAGTAAAATAATAAACATATATCTGAATCAGTAACTGTTATTATCTCAAAATCTTGATTACTCTAAATTGCTGACATCTAAAGAAAGGGGGTTGAAACTGGTTCTTATTTAAGTAATTACAAACAACTCCAATTAATTATACCATTTTGGCAGGTATATTCGTTATTAAGGAGATGGGGATAATTACTAATACTAGTACAAAGATTTTACACACACACACACACACACACACACACACACACACACACGGAACCTGTACAAAAGAATCTAATTCAAAACAAAAGAGTTGAAAGCAATTTTCATTGCTTACCATGGAGGAGATGAATTGAAGTTACTTGAATTTTTGACTAGAAAAGTAAATATGTGATTCTCTCAAGAGCTTGAGATTCCAAGGTCCCTTTGAAGGTGATGCAGAGCTATGAGTAGACTCACTAAAGGTATAGTATGTAGTAACCAGAAGACATAATTGCACAACACGAGAATTTACTAGGCAACTATTCAACCTTAGGCCAATGGAGTTGGGAAAACCCCGTAGAATAATAATAGAGGCAACAGAAGCTGTACACAATATGCAGCCCACATTATGTAACAAACAGAACTACTCAATCAAGTCCATTCAATACTTAATCCACATACAGCATTTCAGATCTTGATTCAAATTCAGCATAAACATCAAAATTCATATATGCACCTGAAACCGCATACTATAAGTCTACAATAAAGCTTTATAATTGTCAACTTGCATGTTATAATATTTCAGAACGTAACAGAGGCAACATTACATTCAAGTTTAGCTGAAAGGATTACCTTAATTGACCCCAGTCATATCCACACCTGACTACATTAGCATACCTCAAATCCATCATAAATCTACATGGTATAGCGACCATGAAAATGATATATGTATTGACACAATTTTACAGTAAATCTTCATAAAGGGCTTAATAGAGCACTAAATTACCACAGAAAACCCTTGACAGAGCATTTACAGATTCCAGTCTCATTCTATAAATTCCATTGTTGATAAAGCTTTACAAATAGCATTTGAACTATAGGCTTTGGCACACACAGACAATAAAAAATGTCTAGTTAAGCACCATGTCATTTGCCTTTAAAAAACTGAAAAACATATCAGAATATAGGTACAAGATACATTTCTTCTACTCTTGTTTCCATATCAAGTATCCGCATCTCATAACAGAAATTTAGACATTGCTATAGACACTCGACCGAGTCGACACATCCTTTCGGACCAAAGAATGCAATAAATTTTAGCACATTGGCAGATTCCCCAGCCCAACACAAGTAGGGTACATAACCCTAACATAATACTTGTTCACCAAAACAATCGATTTGATCCTCCTCGATAATCAATTACAAACATAATGATAATCTGTAATGTGATCTCTCAAATTATGCACTATAGATTAAAAACATGGAAATATGCAAAGCATAGAATGACATTGAATTTCACAATTTGACAGCAATACCTTTGGATGTAGGGAGAAATTTTCCATCTTTCTTGTAATACTCCCTAATTGACACCAATGTCTTTCCTTTAAAATCCTGAATCGTCACTCTTCTCTTCTCCGACAGCTGCATAAATAATTTATCCAATTAAACCCCATTATATTCTATCCACCAATTAACAATTTCACAAACCAAATAGCCAAAAAAAAATTAAGTAGAAATCAAAACCACAATCAATCAAAAATCACACAAAACCCTCAATTTAGGGTTTATAAAAATCAAAATCAAAAAATCATTTCAAAGAATTAAACTTTTTTCAAACAATTACAGCAAAATCAATCAAAAAACTTACACGACAGATGATGAGATCGCCATCATCATCATACTCTTTGCCATCAGAGCGTCTCTTATTACTTTCTTCTTCTTCCTCCTCCTCTTCTTCTTCTTCTTCCTGTTCTGCTTCATCAGCGGCGTCGTTTTGTTGCTGTTGTTCATGAAGAAAAGATTCGACAATTTGACGGACAAACTTCTTGGAAGAAGATTCGGAGAGATCGATGCCGAGATTTTCGCCGGCGAGAGTACGAACATTGTATTCAGTCATCTTTTGCATGTCGGCAGTTCGAAGGATTTCCAGCACTGTTTCTTGCACCTTCTCCTTTGTTGCGGCGTCCATTTTCCACAGTTTTTTCTGTGTTTGAATTTACTCCTGTTTTAGGCTAGGCAGCTCTGTTGCTGTTCTCAAAGTCTGAATATTTGATGAAAGTTTCTTCCTTTTTTGTGGAGTGATTACGGATGAGGTGGATTTTCTTTTTAAAGATTTTTAACGTTTTGGTCCTTAAATTCTTTGGAGTTTAATATTGAGGAGAATCAAACAAATTTTAGAGCTAAATAGTTGTGTTCATGTTAAATCTCTATGTTTGTAGTGTTTTTCACACAATCAATTAAAAAATGTGTCAAATATAGGATAATTGTTTAATTTGATTGAATTATTACAGGACAATATGATAGTCATTCTCAAAAGCTAGCTAAGGAAGAAGAGTCTTGATGAAAGCCCATTGTCTTATATAAATCTCACATTAGCCCCTTAAATGACCGATGTGCGACTCAAGTCCCATACCTTATAGTGAATCGTAATAGGTGGTCCTAACTCATAAACTTTATTAAACGAATCATGTTTTGTATCATGTCAGGTCAACTTTGTTTTTTCTTTTAATATTGTCATGTCAACGATATAATTACAGTTCAATCTAACAAAATTCATATAAGTATCATACAACTTTTTGGTAAACAACAAGCATGCTCTATTAAAAAAGGGTTCAATTCCTTAATTGTATGTAATTGAATTCAACTAATTGAACTTGTTTTGTACCTACTTTTTGATGAAAACAAGATTAGATTTCTGGTCGTGATACAACCTCTTAAAATTTAACTAACTAATCTAGTTGACATACACGAGTCCACGACACACATATTTGATATTTATCTTTTATTACGAGCATTCCGTCTATAATGCACAACCCCCCCAAAAAGTAAACTGCTAAACGTCGCTCCCATTTTACTTACTAACGCTCCCTTTTTCACATGGAAGGACGACATTGCCCTTTGTGTCTTTAAAGCGAATTAAGGAAGGGTAGTTTTGCCATTTCATATGATTGGGGTAGATTTGTCATTTCAGTCACTTTTTCTTAAAATGTGGCTAATTAATCAGTCAAATAAATTTGATTTTCCTCCTTAATAATTTACCAAAAATGCAAATCTCCAAAATGAACCAGTTGGACTAATTTAGCTAGAGCTCTCCATGACCCCATTTCATCTGCAAAAAATCGATAAGAGTTAGTTTGAGAAATAATTATTTGTGTGAACTTTCCTACATTTCTAAGCCATTGATTCTCAGTCGAAGTAGCTCTTTAATGGCTGAGGATTTTCCATCCACCTAAAATTCATCATGATTCTCTCACCTTCCTCATTTTCCCAGGCAAGTTCTCCACTCTTATTTTTCAATCATCTTCCCAATCCTTCATTTTTTTATTTTATTTTATTTTATTTTCTATTTTGTGCATCGCTTTGCTTGTAAATTTTAGGGGATTTAAGCTATAAATTGACAATTTTGATTAACATTTGCAATTGGGGTTTGTGTATTTTTTTTTTATTGAACTTCAATTTTTGAACTCCTTACTTTGAATTGGGCATGACTTTTTTTTTTGACAATGTATTGTATTTCCCTTCTCTACAGATTTTATTTGGTTGGAAATTAATGGGTTAGGGTTTATATTTAGCCAAATTGAGTTAATTTGCAATCAACATTATCGTTACCTATTTGTAATTGGTAAAGCATATATGGTTCTGGCTATTTGTACAGTTTTGCTGAATTTATCCCACCATATTTGAATTTATTTGGGGATTTAGGTAGTTGGGGAAGATGTTGATTGGGATTTCTGTGTATCAAAATTCTGAGATGGGAACAATACGTTTTGCAGGCAATGCCACAATTCTTTTATAAAGAAATGCAATTGAAGCAACATTGTGTTTCGGCGATTTTTCATTGTCAAGAGAACAGGTTCTTGATCAGACAGGCTTTGACAAACCTTGCTCCTACATCACTGTCTTTCTATGAGAGGAGGTGTGTAATGCTGCAAACTAATCTAAATTTAAATGAAGAATTTCTCAATAACTTCACTTATATGAAGTTTTATGGTTGTCGTTAAGTCCTGCATTTCACATGACATCAGTGTGGCTGCTGTTGTTCACTCTTCCTCTTGCTCGTGTGGAATATGTGTCGTTTATTGAGAGTAGATTTTATCGTTATTTTCAATCATAATATATGGCTTTGGGTGTGTTGAGGTTTGGTAGATTGATTTTTTGGCATGTTGATTGGAGAGCAATTGGCTAATGGTTATTGAAATTGTGCTGCTCTCAAAGGTATGAGATGTTCTAGGGAAGTATACGTGATGAGGCTGTTGGTAACACCTCTTAATATGTAAAGTATAATTTTTTGTGTTTGGTTTAGTTTCCCTGTGTGAAGAGTCAAAGTTCTTGTATTTGCTGAAGTTACCATTTTATTCCAAGATATACTTTGTGTTCTGTTTAGACTTATGATTGCTCTAACCCCCTGTTTACTTGAGGCAAAAGTTCTCCATGTCCATGTTGTAGTTCCTCTTTTGTGATTATTATGTTTGTTATAACACGTCAATCATACCTTCTAATCTGCAAAATTGTGGACTATTTCATTATTCAGCCAATTTCTTGAGGTAGTTAATGGTTGAGAGCAGTTCTGCAGTTCTTAAAAAGTTTCCATATATGATTGCCTTGCCTTTCACCAACAAATACCTTGTGGTTGATGGTTAGAACAGTTCTGCAGTCCTTGTAAAGTTTCCATGTATGATTACCTTTTAAAACTGGTTGTACTTGTTTTTAATCTGTTTCTCCTCCGATGAGTCCCATCATCCTGAGACCCTGGTGTGTTAATTCACCAAATTTTAAGAGTCCTTAGTCCTTACCATTTTCTCAAAATTGAAAGATTCCTAGTAAAAGTGAATTCCAGTGCTCTCTGGTGTGTTGCTGTGAGTTTCTTCAGTAAAAGTGATTCCCAGTGGTTTAGGGTTTGTGCAGTTGATAGAATTAGTCCATAAGCCTTTTAAGTGCCTCTGTTATTTGTTGATGAAGGGCTAAGCTGCTATTAAAGTGACTACCTCAAACAAAATAGATAGGCATTGCTCTTTCGTGTGAAGTTCTGATTCCTTATATTCTTTTGTGTCGGTAGTTTGAATATCATCTTGTTCTATTTCTCCAATTTCTTTGCTATTAGAAGCCTGTGCTAGATGACTAGAACTAGAAAATATAATTTTTAGGATACCACTCTCTCCCTGTCTATGACTTTTTTATTTTATTTTAAATCCTCTGGCATTCATATTCATTTGCTGTCTGACCTAAGCAAACAACCTTTGCCCCCCTCTCTTTCTGCTGAGCAGTTTTTGTAAGGGAAGACATTGTTGGAAAGTCAAATTTGCTTTAGATACTGGTGGATTCCCCAGTAATGGTGGTCAGGAAAATGATATCAACGAGGACTCCTCTGGTCTTGGCCAAACACGGCTTAGCAGAATTGTGATTGCAGGTGGGAGGCAGCTGCTAGGAAAGTTGAATTCGGCTAGAAAGAATTTCCCCATGAAGGTTTTTCTTTTGTTGCTAGGATTCTACACTGCAAATGCACTAGCGACAATACTTGGTCAGACAGGTGATTGGGATGTATTGGTTGCAGGTATTGTAGTTGCTGCCATCGAGGGTATAGGTATGTTAATGTACAAAAAAACTGCATTATCAAGTGGGAGGCTACAACCTTTAGTAGTGTTGATCAATTATTGGAAAGCCGGTGTTTGCTTAGGTCTTTTTGTAGATGCTTTCAAATTGGGTAGCTAAAAGTTCTCATTCATTCAACTCTATATAAGAAAAATGTAATCTGTACAATGTATCATCTCCACATGTCTATACATCTCTCTCAATTTCTTTATTTGATGCTAGCAAGCAATTTAGAATATTTATATGCTACAGACTTATGGAGTATAATGGTACTCGTATTTATTTTGTAAATTGTCGATTGAATTCAGCTAAAAATTGCTATTAGGTGAAGCCGTGAAGACTGAAGAGAACTGAACCATAGTGGAATTTCTAACCAACTCTGATTTATTTTGTTTTCTTTGGAAATACAGAGTAACCTTTAGCCAACTCTGATTGGCTTCTTATGGCCTTTGCTCATTTTCATGAACTTTTCTTCCAACCTCGACGACAAAAACTCAAAATGTAATGTAAAAAAAGCAATTTAGGGACTTTATATTCATCAAGGGAACATATCTAGGGCAACTTATAAGTTTTCTCCAGAGGGGAGGTTTACGCTATAAAATTCTATACATTTGCATTGGCAATTTACAAAATTTAACCAGTGGCTGTCACCCCTAGACACAGGTGAACTTGAAAGCATCACTTTTGCAAGCACAACTCTGGATCACAGATTCACAGCCTTCACAGGGTCGATTTGATGATGAATTCTCATCCCTTGAATTGCTTTCTATTCTTTCCTTTCTTCCTGTGAACAGCAAAAGGAATTGTTAGAGCCAGATTTCAAGGCAATGTTAAATCAAAACAAAAGCTAATGGCAGAGGACATACTTTGACTCAGAGTCATCAAAATCATCCATGGAAGCTTGCCTTTTCCCCCCTCCAAAGGCTACCTCATCCATGCTCTGACCTCGTCGCCTGTAGTTGCCACCAGATGCAAGAAAACCAGGACAAGGCCTATAAGCCTTTATTGGCCACCAACCAAAGCCTGGGATTGTAGCAATTCCACCTTGAATACGCCCCTCGCCATTGCAGCCACTTTCTATTTCCTCTTTACCACATCCTTTACAACCACTACACATAAACAATGAGAATTCTAATCAGAGGAGGAAACAAATGAACTAGACCCCCTTGTCCCCCCTTCTTTTGAAAACTATGCTCTATGCAACAACAATAACTGATCCTAAGCAAGATTGAAAAGCTTATTTCTAAAATATCCGGCTGTTTAAAAGGCAAATGAAATCATTCTTTCAACAAAGATGTTTCAAAGGCATTTACCATAACTTGAGAAAATCAGAAATCTGTAAAGGCATTGTTTCTTTCAAAATACACAAGAGATCCATTAAATTTCTTCTTCGTTGTCGTTTATCAATCTCCTATAATAGGGGTGAACACCCATTTCCTGGACTAACTTTGACGGACTGATAACATTTAATGTCCACTATTATGAAATCTCAATAGCAGTAATGACTTGTTTCTAAGATTAGCCAAACCCCAATACATGATTGGTTAAAACTCAAATTGTTTTTCCCAATCCAAATTTCCTCAAATAATCCCCCAAAATGAGAAAAATATGATACTCATAGAATAACTACTCAATTATAAACAGTAATTTATTGATAGTCGTAAGAAAATAGTAGTTATGACCATAAAGAACACAAAAAAGAAAATGAAAGTACCTGAAATTTGAAGGAAGAGAATCAGAATCATTGGTAGAAGGAAGAGGTGAATCTTGTTGTTCAACAACTGATGAAGATGAGGTTGAAGATGAGAGAGTTATGAATAGGCCAAGTCTTTGCTGTTGATGGGGAGATTTCAAGTGTAAGAATTGGGGAGATGAATTGTTAAAAGGGTGATGACAGAAGAAGAGGGATGGAGATGGTGTTGAAGTTGCAACTGCCTTCATGTTTCTCCTCCTTTACCAGTCTCTCTCTCCTCTTTCTTTCGGTCTCTTTTACTGGTCGAGTGGTCGAGGATTAAGATCAGCTGAGGGGATAACAGACCTTCAGTTCTACCTTGGGCTGTCGGATTCAGAGTCCAATGTTCTAACAAGTAACAATTAGACTACGACTTTTTCCATGACCCGAGTAAGATATTGGTGTATTAGATAAGCTTAGTTGGTTAAAATGTTAAGAGATAAATTGATAATACTCAAATTCCGATATTTCATTCCAGTTCTTGTCGACACCATTTGCTACTTGTGACTTTTTATTAAAAAAATTAAATAAAATAATATGCATATCGTTATTGTATACACATTACACAGTTTAATGTATGCTTTGAAAAAATCTTCACCTAGACTACAGAAGGATCTATCTACTTTATGCAACAAAATTGCAACCTTAAAAGTTCTTAGCAGCACCAAATAGCTGTAAGCTCACAACCATCACCACAACCCGTAACATTGTAACAACCACCCACTGTCCCTCCACCCTATCCCATTAATCCTACTCCAACAAACCATGGCCACGGACCCACCCCGGTCAATCATCCCCGTCTACAAAAAATTCAAGCTCGTCTAGGGATGTGTCGATTTTATCAAAGATAAGATAGTGTAGTGACAAGGCATAGGAGCATGGATTATACTTTCTCGAAGTAAAATAGTAATTCGCCAATCAAGCCTGCTAGAATTTATTTCCGATAATCTTAAATTACTCCAGTGCATCAGCCAAGGGAGTGTCGCTCACACATCGTGAACATTGAAGTCATTGCACTTCAACTGCTAATCAATGGAATAAAAAAAAAAACTAAAGCCAGTACAATGCAACATTAATGAATTCACAAGATAGTAGAAGTGCGTGCAATTCATTTACATCTTCCAGACACTCACTCTTCAGAATCTAAACGGGAACCTGTGATCTAACTTCTCTGACATGTCAACAGAGAATCAAAGAATTTGGAGAAAGTAAATGAAAAGAATTGTGACAAGGAAAATTGACATTATCATAGAATGCCTCTTCCCGTGAAACAGCAGCCAAAACTGAGGGTAAATAATAAATGCATTGGATCAAATTATAATAGAACTACAATTTCTGTTTCAACTAATTTCTCACTGAAGACAAATAATGCTGTACTAATTTTTTTTTTTTTTCTCAGTGACTACTATGTTCATGATTATTAGCTCCTTTTAAACTTGGCTTAAGCATGCCCAATCTGTTGATCAACATCTTCATCAACCAGCATCACTGAGCGATGGTGATGGACCATGTACCACCTCCCATCGTGATGCTCGAACACATTGGTCACATTGAATGGCCCTGCATTCATGTCAACGTAGGTTTTCATAGTAACCCAAGCCATTTCACTCAGGACCCTAGCCCGCACATCACGTACTTGGAAGCCTTCTGCTAGTTGCTCCCAGTTGAATGCAATCTGCCAACTCCCCATTACTGCATTATATCTGGAAGGAAAGAAAATATGGCAGGATAAGATTTTGTGGTAACTCCCAAAGCTTTCAAAAACTCATGATATTTGCCCAAGCACAATGGGTTTACTTAATGCAGAGAATTTAATACAGATGGGACTAAGAGTTGCTTTTAACAACATAAAACAGATCAAACTGATGAATAAACTTCAATGAAAAGTACACAGGTCTTTTACAATATTTAATCTTTATAAAGGATTGTAGATGCATTTTTAATACGAGTCATACAAAGGGCTAGAACCATTTTGGTAACTATTGCAAATGATAAAATACAGCATATAACTAAAGGAGGCTGTAATGTTTATCTTTTGCCTTTTCAGCAAACTAACAAAGCCAGTAAAGCAAAATCATCATCTCTGCATACTACATGTCAAAGGAGCTGGAGCAAGCAATCCCTAACCCACAACCATCTCCCCCCCCCCCCCACCCCAACCCCGCACAAAAGAAATCAAAACAAAGAAAGAACTTAAACTCTGTAGATTAATCCCGTTCATGAGATTGCTGACGGCATGAAGTAAAACACAATTGTAAATATTTGAAACATTTTACTTAAGTGCCTAGACTATCACATACTCCACAGCCTATATTTTATTGGGAAATAATTAAAGATGTTCCTACTGGACTTATTGCAGTCTCCAAAGAACAAACTTTTACTCTACCATAATATTATGTAAATCTACAATTGATACTCAAGTGTAACTACTTTTGACAATGAATTTAACAAAAATATTCACAAATTACTGTGGACACATCAAAGAAAAAAATGTTTGAAAACATTATAATGACCGAGATATTCACCAAAATCCTTTTGTCAGGGAAAGAGTAACTAATACAAGAATGCAGTCTAAAAGTAGCATTAGCAAACGTACACAGCATAAGACTATAAAACAGCATCTTTAATCAAGATTTGGAGATGATGATCGTAACCCACATCAGATCTAAATGCATTTCAGCCTTTTTCTCAAAGCACAATTAAAGATAAAGTGCACAGAGATGCATAACAATTAAAGATAACATGCACAGATATGCATACTAATCTCTAAACAACACAAGAAAAATTGCCCTCAAACTATATACTGCAAAACTACAATATATAAACCAAAGCATCATACCCAGTAAAAAGCTCCCCTGAAGCATGGATACACTTCACATAGTCTGCATTAAGCCAGAAACGACTCATTGCTGGAAGTGATCTGTCCCTCAAGATGCTGAAAAATTCTGCATTAATATTCACAATCGCTCTTGTAGCTGCATAGTAAGCCTTCCAACCATTAGCTGGTCTGACACTATCTTGTTCCAGAGTAAAATCCTAGAAGAACCAATGAAGGATTGAAGGTAACATTAAAGCTTGCAGACATTAAAAATTTAAAATATGAAAATTGCAGGCATCTAGGAATGTGGAAAATCATCAAAATGCAAAAACACTATGCATAATCTGAAACACAAAATCAACTACAGCATTCTATATATTTCCTAGGTTCATACACAAGTTCAAAAGAAGATACCATTCATGCACACAAATATAATCAAGATTTTATCCTTATATATATTTATCAAACACAAACATGTTAAGGCCCTCCCAGGAGAGTGAAATACTAGTTTTACATATCATATCCCAAAGCATCTATGTAAGCCACCTCCCTCATCAAGCATAGTTAACAATTGCTTTATATATTTAAGATCACTGTTACCTAAGTCCATCAAGCATTGTTAACAATTGCTTTATATATTTTAAGATCACTGTTACCTAAGTCCATCAAGCATTGTTAACAATTGCTTTATATATTTAAGATCACTGTTACCTAATAAGTATTTCACCCACAAAAAAAAAATAAAAAATAAAAAAAAAAAAAACCCAAAACTTACTAAGAAATTGTGAAATTGAATTAGAACAATGGAGCACTTAAGGACTAATCAAGAAAAAAATGGGTACTGAATTGCAATCCTGCAACGGTCCAGAGAATCAGGCAACACCTTTAATCAATCATTGCAGCAAATATCACCTTTTGACACCTCCAAATACAAATTTTAGTAATGTTGTATTGTAATCATGGTTAGCTAGTATAGGATGAAAGGAACAAACCAAAATGAAATTGGACCAGAAATCATGACTCAGCATGGTTAAATTGTAGCACAATCAAGATATTAATGTACTCTATTTAAGCTGAATTGTTTGCACAAGGGACCATGTAAAGACTAAAAGCCTGGGGTGAGAAATGGGAAAACAACTCAAATATAAAATGCCAATAAAAAAGGAAGAGAGCCAACTATGAGGAATATCTCAAAGTCTAAAACCATAAAATTATTCTTACATTATCTAAGCTTTCAGTCTATGCAGACTCAATGGACAATATAAAAAGGTCAGCCATCAGCTCAACCAACTGTCTAGCAACCAAAATGTGCTGCAAAGTGGCCAAATATCTATCTAAAACAAGCCTTTAAAAATATAATCAAGGGACCATACCCAAATTTTTAGAAATAAAATATACAAGTATATATATATATATCGACTATTTATTAACAAAAGCTTCAACTTTTAATGTACTAGAATAAGTAGTTCTAAGGTAGCTAAAGAAATCTGCATCACATCAAGTAGCAAAGGGCATTAAACTGACAGTTTTAACACCCAAAAAACAAAGAATTACCAGAAGTGAATGAAATTGAACTATGAAATCTGTCAAATATAGTCCTCTAACTTAACAGTTCTTTAAATTATAAATAGTTCTGTAAATTCTGTATTGTTCATAAAGACCATAAAAAAAAAGGGAAACAATAAACCCAAGAATTGAGCATCAAAACGTCAATCAGGGGGCCAATAATAAGTCCATATATCAGGCATCCTTCAATCTTTCAACAAAGTAACAAAAGAGCAGCATAAATTACTCCCGCAATATTCATCAACCAGCCAAACAAGTGTAGAGGCTTAAGTACACAATTAATAGCAATGCAATACCAACTAAATCACCAAAATCCAAAAACATGCAACAATTTGATACAAGCCAAAACAAATTGAAATGTATAATAAAAATTACCAGTTAATTTACAAAATTGAAATTCAGATAACATTAGCCTTAATTTGCTAACCAAATTCTAAAATTCACTAATCATAAATATTATTCGCACAATATTCATCAATCAAAATACATTAGTGGAGGCTTAAACACACAGTTAACAGGCTAACAGCAACGCAGTCCCAACTAAATCACCAAGAAAATGCAAGACATTTAATTCAACCAAAAAAATTGAAGTTTATAATAAAAACTACAATAGTAGTATCAAGAAGAAGACAAGAATTGTACCTTATGGTAAAGAGCTTTCCAAGCATTATCATCATTAGCAGCCTTACGCATCAGTGAATTGGTCATAGAAAGACGGCAAAGACTAGGATAATCCAAGTAACTGAGCGCATGAGTCGTAATCTCCGGCACCAATTGCTCCATCATCGAAGCACCAGTCTGCTTCTCCGCCGCCGACACCAACGCCGGCATTTCACCTCCGTTCTCCGTCACCGGCGCACAATCTGCGCTCAAAACGGCGCCGTTACAGGAACACTTACAATCAAAATCACGCCTACTACTATTACTATTTCTAATACTACTACTATCACTATCCTTCAAATCTCTCTCCGTCGTAAACTTCGATCTCCGACCACCTTTCAAAGACGAAAACACGGCGGCGGAAGGAAATCGACCGGCGAAGATAAAGCAAAGTACGGTTGCGGCGAAGGCTACAATGAAGGAGTACGATGAAAAGAAGGATGATAGAATAATCTCCATTCATACGACATTAAAGCTCCAATGTACATGAAAAACCCTAGAAAATTATGGAATTTTATCAAATTGGGGGAAATTCGTCGAATTATAGCGACGTTTATGAGTTTTCTTTAGTTGAATTTTGACCTAATATGAATAATTTTGGTAGAATGAATTTGAGTGAAGGTGTCGGATAAACCCTAGAAGTTGGGGTTTCTTCAATGGAATTTGCAGAGGAGAGAGAAAGGATGAAGAAGGTTTGTGTGAGTTGTAACTGACAATCTTTTTTGATGAATTTACTATTTGAGGAATTAAATGGGTAGATTTTGAAGTTTAGAACGACGACGTTTTTGTTGATATAAATTACTGTAGTTTTGATTTTCTGCCGTTTGGGTTGACTTTTGATCTTTGAGAAAATAAATTTATTTTAGGAAAATGTTCAATGAAGAATTAAAAATTATAATAATAAATAAATAAAAGGGGTTATGAGTTTTGAATTGGGGAAGAACAATTATGGTAGGGTATATCATAGTATATGCCAGATTTGATTCCTTTTCAATTTTAACCATGCTTAATTGCTACTATGTACTAAAATAGGTTTTTTATATGCGAGTGTGGAAAGTGTATCATATGAATAAAGAGGAAGTAGGTTGGGGTTATACTCTCTTTGTTTCTTCAAGTTATATTTTGTTCCCCTAATTAATTTTTATTCATTTTTTAAAAATAATAATTTAGATAAATAAGCTTATGTGCTACGTAATAATCAATAAGCATCAATTGCAATTTACAAACGAAATTAATTCAAATAGATGAAAATCGAGTATTTAAAACACACATTAATTTTAGGAAAATTTTATACATAGCCCTTAGGGCTACCTATAAGGCTATAAGCATTAAATTTACACTTCAAAATCGTAAAAAGTTAAGAAATCATCAAAATATAAACACTAATAACACTGATTTACGCGTGTTTTTGTCATGAATTCCTAATTTTATACAATTCCTAATTTTAATTCATTATGCATGCCTTCGAATATGGATTATGATAAAATTACTACATCCATTTTCTTTTAGATAACCAGTTTCACTTACTCTTGGTGATTAGTATTGGTGATTCAACAATTTTAATTTCAAATTCAAAAACAAGGAACTGGAAGCACAAATCAAGGACCATTGATCAATCAACAAAAGCTGTTTACTTGTATTTCTTACTTATCACTTTCTTAGCAGTAGTTCCCTTAAGTCATCTAGGCTCATTAGTTTTTACATTTAGAATGTATTGATCTACAAAGCAATGTGTCCAAGAGTGTTTAAATTGAATACGTTTGCTTGTGAAACGACTAGGACAAAGCTCGAGGAAGTCATTATCTGTGCTGCTGTGCAGGGAAGAAGAGTTAGAGCATTAGTTTTCTGCGAAGTACAATAATAGAATTACAGCAGAGGTGGAGCTTGTGGCATTCAGAATTAATGTCAGAAAATTGGAAGTGGAAATTGATATGACAACAGTTTTCTGATAAATCTGCTCCAACCTTAGTATGAATTGGAAGATTTCATTACAGGCTCGCCTTTCTCATGTATTTGCTGCCACAATGTTCATCAGAGAAACAGATACAACTGCAACGATTCTACTAATGTACAGTATATGATAATGGACAAGATAACCGTTTCAAATAATATTCTCGTTCCAATCAGAAGTGCATCATTAATTTCTACATATAGCTAGATACTACAAACATGGTATTCTACCTAATCTAACTCACTGCCTATAACAACCAGGTCTTAACCTACAAACTACTAAGTGGAAATTATGGAATGGATTGTTTATTGTTACAAGAGCCAATGAATCCACTGGAGTTACTCCTACAAAAGTCTTATGTTGCTTCTACCTGATATGAGTACATCTCTGCCACAGTTTAAAGGGCAGGAAGCAGTATGAGCTTTCTGGCACCAAATTAATTGCCTACCACAGTCTCTTCAGTGAGAGTGTAGAACGGCACAAGGTATACTAGATCAAAGTTATTAACATTGTGATGCCACTGCTAAAGAGTATTAACAACCATCCTCTACTCGTTCTAGAGACGTCATTTCCTTGAGAAGCTCCAAAAGAGAGCAAAACCTGTTTGGAGACTAGCTTGAGGAATGCTATACACAAGAAGAAGAAGCTCACTAATAAAACCGCAAGCTCCTTGTTATGTAGACTTGTCTGGTCATTCTCTATGTTTTCAACAAGAGATCTGCAGTAAAATGGATAGTGTAAGATGATAAGAACAAATAAAATGTGATGAGTTATCAGAGGAGAGAAAATGGATCCCTTTGGACAAATAGCACAGAACACATCAGTTGCAAGTATTTGAACCAAGTACAAGAAGGATTCTCAGTTTGTGGTAAGACAAACTTTTAAACAAACCGGATGTACAGAAAGTACAATACATCAGTCATCAGCTATAAATGATGCAATTTGATGGCACAACATAAACTAAACCAGTAGGTAGCTGCTAAACAATAAAATTTGCAAACTGAAAGGGCAGCTGACCTGAGGTTCCTATTTTCACTGACCAACTCATCAATTTGTGACGAGAGAACAGCCTTCCACAACTTAATATCTTCAAATTGTGTATCCTGCAAAAAAGGAATCATTTATTCTTTTTAAAATTTAGATAAAAAGGAATATGTAGAATACTCATAATATTCAGATATATTAGTCAAACAATACCGTGTCTTCCTTCCATTCAATTAGTTCTTTGATTTCTTTTCTTTCATTGTCCAGCAACGAGGTAACTTTTGATAGTTCTTTGTTGATTTCAGGAATAATATCATCTTGTTTTTTATTTAGTTCCTGGAGAAACTCTTCTAACACAGATAGGTTCACCTCCACTGACCTCACTTTCTGCATTAAGATCTTCAGAACAGAGTCTCCAGGAATTCTGCTACTTGACTTTCCGACAACTGAATCAGGAATCTTGCCTGAGGTGCCATGATTCTTAGTTGCGTCATTATTGGTCTTTTGCTCGTCACTTGTTCCCACTCCTTTAACAGAAGAACCATTTCTATTAAGATTTTCACTACCATTATTCTCATTTCCTTCAACATCTTGAGGCTTTCCTGATGATACTTCTGTTGAATTAATCTTTGCTGGTTGTTCACTAGAAGCAGATCTGCTAGAAGTCACCATTAGATCTTCAAGCATCCGCTCAATAGCATCAACACCATAAACTTCCAAGACACTCAAGGTACAATAATGTTCTGATCCATAGTGACTAATTAAACTCAGGTTCAAATAAGTAACCCATTTAGGTACTGGCAGAACAAAGGTTTGAGCAAGCTTAACATTGGCAGCAACAAAATTTCCCATAAAAGACCATGCATCAGTAGGGTAAGTCAAACTTCCCCACAATTCAAATTCCTTGAAGTTTGAGGAGTAGTGCTCAAAATTTGCAATCTTGACAGAATCAACCAAAATTTCTTCCGGAAGCTCAACTACAACATACTTATCTGATACAGAACAAGGGTTTCTAAGATACTTATCATGATCCTTCCCCAAAATGTTACTTGCTCCTTTTGCTTCCTTATTATGAGCTACAACTTTTGCACCTTTAGCCGCTGAGGCAAAGTTGTAAGCTGTTCCATCAGGTTCAAGTCGATGGGTGATATTCACCTGTTCACTAGAAGAGACCACACCCTTTCCTGATATTGTTGTACTTCGGGACTCATCCAGCTTCAAATAAGTGGAATCTAAAGCCATTCCATGTTGATAGTCCTCTAGTTTGTTCATTCTTTGATTAATTCGACAAGGCATTTCACACACCATGTTGTTGTAGCCTAATTTTAATATGTTAAAGACCAATTCTTCCAATCCTTCATGCCTAGGGAGCGAGCAGTTAGAATTTGAAGAACCTAGCCCTTGAATGGTGGAAATGTTAACATTTATTGATATATTAACCTCTAACAAAACGTTGTCCGTGTAGTTTCCAACAGTGATATTATGAAGGGAATCTCCATCACCAACAAGCTTACCCTCAGATAACATACTTTTATAATTAGAGTAATGATGAGTCTCTGGAAATTATAAGCTAAGTTAGTGTCTTCTGCTCAATTGGGACAAAACAGGCAGCAAATTGAGTACTAACTTGAAACTTGTGTACACCCCACATTTAAGCTAAATGATCAAACAACAACGAAACAGAACAGGTAATGACACAATGCCAAAAAAGATAACCAAAATGCATCTCTAAGATCTGGAAATATTGGCTGCCTTAATATATTGTACTAGCAACTATAGTTTGATTAGTTGTTGCCTCAATACAAATGTAATTATGGATTGCCAGAGCTTAACTAGTCTCAGTGCCTAACATAACATTTATAATAGCGTTGCTAATGAGTAATGAGTTGTCACAAATAAATCACTCCCTCAGTCTCCAAGAAACATCTTTAACCATAACACGTTAACATCTTGAAAACACACATCGAAACAAATCTAACAAGATCACACGTGAATACGTGATCACGCTTATAGCAAGCTCACAAAGTAAATCAGAATAGAAACTACAACAAAGCTTTATATTATCATACGGAGTATCGTATAATCCAAACGCACAAGCAGTTTCATTTCAATCACATGCTATTAAATGATCAAAACATACAGATCAAAAAGGAAAAGCTATCATTATTGACCCATGTAAATACAGAGCAATCAGTAAAAGCTCATATTACCATATAAACCAACCATAATTAAGAAGTAATCAAGCAAAACCTAAAATGAACCACATATAAACAAAGGTCCCACATTGTTGCAGAAAACTCCAAATCAAAACATGTGAGAAATCAATCAAAATAAATAAATAATTAAAAACCCAGAAAATTAATTAATTAACTAATTAGTTAATTGGATGAAAAAAATACCTGCATGACCATCGCTAAGACAAACTTCACAGTAAAACAAAAAAACGAAGCACCAAATCAAGGAAACGCAGAGTTCATAGAAGCTATTATTATTGTTGTTGGTTCTGCTAATATCGCCATTGTTGGTCTTCTTAATACCTTCAAAATCTTGGGTTTTCTTATAATTATTATGAATGCTACATTTTTTGACATTTAACCCAAAGTTTTGAGCTTTCTTCATTTCTCATCCGTACAATAAAAGGGAAAGTTTATGTGCAAATTATATACGAGTAATAAAAATTGGTGTTGCTATTTTGATTAGCAGTTAGTTTGTTGGAGATAGAGAGGATGAGAGTTGAAGGAAGAATTGAAGTTGAAAAAGAAGAGGAATTTCTGGGTTTGATTAGTTTAGTTTTGGAGTTAGTTTTTTGTAATGACTTAATCTCCAATTTCGTCGGGGAATTCATGGTCTGGTTTGCTTTTGAGCCGAGGTACTTGGAATTAAATGGCCTACTGTCATAAAATAATAGTTACGGAGCACAACATAATTCATACATTGATACTCCGTACAATATTATTCCGGACATAATTACACTATTAAAAATTTGACGTTTTTAAGATAGCGGATGTTTAATGAGATTTTGGTATCCGAAAAGACTGATCGTGATACGAAGTATCACTTCATTACGGCCTTTAGGTACTTGGAAATGTCCTCTCCCCGACTCTCAAGTGGTCAAGTATGGTAAGATTGGTTCGAGGTCAGATTTAATTGAGTTATTCACTCTATAAAACATGAAAGGTGCGCCACATTTTTCAAGCAACTAATTATCTCAGAATAATTACTTATGCGTGTTGATTAAGCATCTTATTCATGAGAAAGCCAAGGGAGCAAGTGGTTTATATTTGATTATATATTTATATACATGATATATTAGATCTTGGTTGATTTCAAAGAGTTGAGAATAAGGTAGCTTATATTAAGGCTCGTGTCATCCTTCAACCTTAGAAGTTTAATAGAACAACGCATGTTGAATGATATTCCTTCTTATATTGTCCGTCAAATTCAACCTCTCTCCGCCTAAACAATTGTAGTACTTATACTACGAAGTATTTAGCTTAGGTAAAATACAATTTCACTATTGCTCCCTCAACATGGAGCTAGGCAAAATATTGGGCCAAGAATCTCTGTACATTAAACGTCAACAAGTGACAAAACTACAAAAACAGCTTACAGACTCATTTCAAAACTTCAAATTTCCTTAATATGTGAGAGCTTACAACTAATAGCTTAACCCGCGTTCTTCCTCTCAGCCTGCTTGGGGCATGTCTCCAGTATGTCAGTACAATGGATTAGATTATAGACGCTATGGCTCACATATCAAGGAAATCGACTTCTATGCAACACACTGATTCCGTTGTTGTCCTGGTCTATCAATGGCATGGAAATGTTACACCAATTCACCACTTGATGAAGTTGCCAATGCATGCTCTAGCTCATAGCCTTGGTCCTCACTAAAGAACGGAAGGCTACCAGGATGTTCCTCCTCCAACAGAAGGCTCACTGATGTTTCTGCAGGGTATTTGTCAATGATAAAATCAATTTCTGCTCCGCTGATCTCCTTTTGGTTTAATAGAACCTGAAAATGGAACACAACAAAGATCAAATACTACATGGCAAGAGTTCCACACAGTCTCACATCACATTTGTGTCCAGAAAGTTACGGTTTTTCTCAACCATTTCAGGTGACTTGGTGAGCAACCATGCATCAGTACCTTCACTATCTCCCCTTTCATGTGGATGTGTGTTCAAAGGAGTAATTCAATCAACAATTACCCAAATCAAGAGCACATGATGACATGAATGAGAATAATAACTAACAGGAACTTCTCAAATTTATGAATCTAAAAAACAAATTGACAATATAGTTGCAGCAAGCAACAAGAAACCACCTTTGCTTAAATACAACACTCATAAAAAACTGACGCTTTTTCAACAATAAATGTACATGCCATTTGGGGTGGGGGGTGGGGGTGGAATTACCCTTGGCAGGTACCAGAAATGAATTGGTAGAGCAGCCTTGAGGCATTTAAGAGGGGGGTTGTGCACTTGTGCTATACAAATATTTCTATTTTAGAAAGCCCAAGAACCAAATCAATTTGATGAAAAGGGCATTAGATCCAGCAAACAGTCATATACCTTTACAGTTTTGAGCAAAGCGGCATGATGCTGTCTAAGCAGCAAAACAGTCTTCTTATACATCTCCCGCAACAATTCTTCAGTTCGCTTGGCAATTTCATCGTCCAAATTGAAATTAAGTGGGGGTTCTGTAAGATCATAGTCATCATACAAGGAACCCTCAAAGTCCAGCCTGGGTCCCACAAATTTAGCCGTCTTCCTCCAAGGAGGTGGTTCCCCATGTATGACCATAGGGTTCTCCAGATTCCATCTGATAGAAAAATGGAAACATTGATCTATTAAAAAAAAAAAGGAAAACATAGTAAGGTAAAGAGAAGCTGAGAAATAAACTTACATGGTTATAATTTTTCGGGCAAGCCAGGTTGCATCAGCAAGATAGTTAACTGATGCCCTTGATGTATCACGTCCATATATAACGTCCTCAGCAGCTCTCCCACCAAGAAATACCTTTCCATGTAAATTCAGGTCAACAAAAAATGATCTTTACACCATAACAAATGGATAAAAAGACTAAGAAATCTTAATGTTTGAACCTGTAAACGATGTAGCAACTGTGGCCGCCTCTCAAACATGTATAACTCATCATCAAGACGATGAAATACGACTTGTGATAGTGTCTGCAAAAATAACCCAATACATGTTAGGCTAAGTAACACTAATCAAATCATCAGTACCTGCTTCACGGATATAAGAAAATTAAACCAACCATCCTAGAAAAAGTTATTTTATAGACCTACATTTTTTCCAGCCTTGCCATAAGGTATATTGGGGAAAGCACATGAGCATTATACAAATATATACTTTAATTTTATGGAACTAGTTGACATTTCAATACCCAATCAAAGAATTTTACTGCTTTTAAGCAGCATAACAAAAGCACTTGTTGTTCATAAAAGTTTCATATAAGCCATTAGCCATGCTCACGACATAGAGAATACTTAATGAAGGCTGACAAGTGACAGGGTAGGTACAAATGACAAGAAACGAGTTTCAAGAAAGAGTCATAAGGAAACAAGGTAACCTGGCCACGTGGGTTGATAGACACACGATCACAACGTTCAACTTTTGCATTCTCAAGCCTTCTAAGCAAATGAGATGTTATAGCAGTTCCCACTTCAGCTGTGGCCCTGCGACATTGTCCTTGGTGCCCCAACTCTATGCCGACACGTTTAGGCCCAATTGTTAGTCGATCCACTGCATCATCAAGATCAGACTGGTCAACCTCTTCATGCCCTTTCCTAGCAGCAACTAAAGCAGCTTCTTGCAACAGCTGAGCCAACTTCGCACCAGTCCATCCTGAACATGCATGAATATCATATCGTCATACAAGCACATCTATAGAGAGGTCAATATATCCTGTAAGAACTAATACTTCCTCCATTTCTTTTTAGTTGCATCGTGTTCTTGAAACGGAAGTTTCAAATTAGTTGCATCACTTTCCCTTTTAGTTAATAAACTCTATCTCTCTCCTATCACATGGGTCCTTTTTCTTTTTTTTTTTCTTTTTTTTCTATTCCCTCTATCTCTCTCATCTCCAACAATTGCCTAGGAGTCCACGATTTGCAAAGTGATGCAGCTAAAAACAACGGAGGTTGTAATCTCATACATCAAAACAGGTCTCATTCACAATTCAAGCATGTCAATTGTCAACATGTAATATGCCATATAAGGTCATATATCATATTGCCATACCAGGTAAGTCATTGGCATAACTGGACAAATCAACAGAAGGAGACAATTTCACTTTGCGGGCATGAACTTTCAAGACTTCCAATCTTCCTTTAGCATTGGGAGGTTGAACTCTTATCTATACAAGAAGGAAAAAGGTCCGATTAACAAATTTTTTTACCATATAAAAGTATTAATGAAGATAAGCTAAATAATCAGCACTTTCAAATTAAGTAGGAAGCAATAGTTCTTAGATTGTCATCTTATAAGAAGTATGTATAGCCAAGGCTGTAAGATATCATGATACACCGCACTTATTAAAAATGGGAAGAAAATACAGAGTTTACAAACCTTTCTATCAAAACGACCTGGTCGAAGAAGTGCAGGGTCCAACAAATCCATTCTGTTGGTAGCACCTAGAAAGATGACACCTTTGCCAGTATCAAAACCATCAAGTTCAATTAAGAGCTGATTCAAAGTAGTTTCTCTCTCTTGAGTGGCTGCATTATACAGATTATCACTTGAATCACTGAATATTCCTTGCCGCCTGAATTTACAAAACCCAGGAAAATTAAATCAAAATATCCAGTAAACATATGGCTAATAATCTTCCAAAAATTGATTTGACAATAAGATATGCACCGTGTAGCTAATGCATCAATTTCATCAATGAATATGACAGATGGCTTATTTACCTGCAAAATGTAATGTTTATTAATCAGTAAATGAAAATGGTGCAGAGCAGTTTGTGTAACAGTTTTACATGTTAATCAGCTCTTAAGAAGCATACACCAAAGTTGCCACAAAGACAACATCACACCATCAAGCAGATGAGACTCTGTAATGAACTGGAATTTTGGGCAGAAAATTAAGGGAAGAAGAAAATGATGATATGAAAAATTACAGAAAATTAAAGGGTTATTTTACTTATTCAAGCTTACAAGAGGCTTGATTAACACAAAAAGAACTAAATGAAATACTCAAATTCAATAATACCCGGCATATACACTTCCTCCTTCCAAGTTGGACTATTCACTACAATCATTGCCCTCAGTACTACACGATGCAATTAAGACTCCAGCCTAAATAAGGTTTTGGTGATCACTAATCCAACAGTTGCAGAGTAATTTCTCAAATTAACTACTAATACACAGAATGTGAGGACTCTGACTTCTCAGGAAACATTGCGCAGAAAGGGATATAAAATTGTAAAACATGGGTCATACAAAGTCAGTACTCAGTAGCATCCATGAAGCGCGATGCTGGCATGTTGACTTCTACACACTGATATGTGATGACAGGAAGCAAGTATGTCACTTTACCTTGGCTCTCTTGAATAAATCCCTGATACGTGCAGAACCAACACCGACAAGAACTTCAACAAACTCTGACCCAGCCATTTGGTAAAATGGAACACCAGCTTCACCAGCTATCGCTTTTGCAACTAAAGTCTGCCAGACAAGGGATAAATATTTTAACATTGCATGTACCAACAAAACACCATAAACACCATCTATATATTACCTTTCCACAACCAGGTGGCCCTTCCAGAAGGACTCCATGAGGAGGTTTAATTCCCAGTTTATCAAAAAGATCTGGATTCTTCAAGTAATTCACCAACTACAGAAAGCACACAACAAAAGCAACAAATTCAGTTACAATTCAGAAGACAGTATCAAAATATTGGCAAAAAATTATTGAGAGGGGAAATCACTCAGGGCTGGATATCAGCTTGCTCATAGACTAAAACCTTTCAAGACAAGCTGTCTATGCGGAAACCTTAGTTTTTCAAACAGGACTTAAACTAAGAAGAAATACGGAGTAGAAAATTTTAATCAATTTATTCAGAAACTATGAGCTATAAAAGAAATATAGACAATGACAGAGGCCATGCATAATTTGCTGCATGAAAACAAGACATATTGATTCAAAAACTCATGAGCCATCAAGCAGTTCAAAAAGGCCAGTTTATAGCAAAGACAGCATCAATAATCTTTTTACCAGTATCTCGCAAAGGAAAAGGACAAGTATAAAGACCTGGATGGACATAAACCACGGAGACCAGTCATATGAGGCTAATCACTTATTCTTAAGTACTCATGATGCAGCGGTAATTATTGCTCCTTATCACTTTAAGCGCCAACAAGTAACTTTCAGCCAGTGACCATAAGGCCCAGAACAGAAGAAACTAAGAAAGAGTAGTAGAATAACATAATAAAGTCAAATGGTGATCCCTAGTGTTCTTTTATATTCACCAAACACATACTTTCTCAGTCATAAACAATGCCCTTTAACAGAGACAAGAAGTTTAGGCAGTAAAAGCAACCAATACATGGTATAATTAATCTTCCCAATGTAATATAGTTATGCAAGTAGAATTTCTATTAATAAGCATGATGATCATTGATCAAAGTGTATATATTTACCTCTTGAAGCTCTTCAACTGCTTCTTCAATGCCAGCTACATCAGCAAAAGTGACCCCAGTTGAACCCTACAAACTATATTTAGTGAGTATCATATGATTAATTATCAATTACAGAAAAAGAACATAAAATAGACAGAATTTTCCAAGGTATTTACATCAACTCGAGCCTGAGGCTTGGATTGTGAAAAATCAATACCTTGCCAAATATCCTACACATTAAACACATCACAAGAATTAGCATGTACAGATACCAGCCACATTAAAAAAGACAAAAAAAATTACACAATGCTCCTTGTATATAAGAAAGAAAGGTGGTGACATACCCACTTCTTGAAATTCTTTGGTCTTCTTGAAAGAGTAAAACGTACAAGGAGAACCATAGTTAAAAGAACCAATGAGATTGGTTTAAGTATCTCAAGACTAGCAGATAAACCACCAAAAGTATAAAATTCAGATATCTTGGAAATTAATCCTCCATCGCTAAACATGTCAGTAAGATTATCCCAAACTCTCTCCGCAATACCAAAAATGATTCCGAGGAAGAGTTTGAGAAAAGGCTTAACAATAGGCCAGGCAATGTACACAGTAGCAACAAAAACAAAGCTGGTGGCAGCAAAAACAGCTGAAGCAAGAAAGCTTCCAACAACAACTGCAGCAGCTGCCAAGACAACAGTAACCATTCCAAATTCCACCATAATTCTGCTTGATATGGAGGATGCAATAGGATTAGGATACTCCGGCAATTTCACAATTGATGCCTGTATAAAAGACATGGAATAAATACAAACTGTTGACTAACTGGCAAAAGTTTACGCCAAAAAGGCAAAAAATATATTTTGATTCTGCACACCACCACCGGTGCAACCAATCTTCTCTTTTCAGGGAAAAGGGGAGGGGGGGGGGGGGGGGGGGGGGGGGGGGGGGGCTGGTTGAAAGCGCTCATTGCAAACAAGGGGGCTGGTTGAAAATGTTCGTTGCAAACAAAAAAAATCATGTTATGTACTATTTGAAAGTTGAGACATCTTCAAGAGATCAGAAATTTTTGTAACGAGTAATCGATATTCATGATGGAAAGGAAATGATCTAGGGCATGATGCAGTATTTAGCAAAATTGATAAACAAAGTACAGAGTCTTTCTTGACTTTGAAATTTGAAGAATAAGGAGAGGAGGAAGAAAATTGAACTTAGTTGTTAAATGATACTTGTAGTATATTACAGATATAAAGAGGTTTATATCCGCCATTCTCTTCATTTTCTGCTCATGAAAATGTCCATAGAATGAATCTTCAACAAGGAGGCAATGTATTATAGATGCATTTCATAATGGTCAAAATGCATTGGGACAAGAAAGAAATGCAAAAACAGACTTTCCATACAAGGTGTAAACAGATTTTGCATATTGCAATTAATATCTACCAAAAGTAGACAGCAACATGATACAAATACAATACCATCATACCCCTCAACAGGCAAGGATTAAGAACTTGATAAAACACAAAAATTTGAAAAACAACCGTAAGCAAAACAAAAGCTCGTTGAACACATTATCACAATACTATAGCTTACAACCTTACTTAAAACCATTAAGTACTATCAATGGTAATTATGGAACACAAAAATAATATTGCAATTACGAGTTTACGATCTTCCAATTACTAGTCTAGCTATAATGGATTAATAACTCCCGTGTTTTGAGTGAAATTACCGTAGCTCGTGTCTCTATTTCATACTGAGGACCAGTATACTCTGTCAAGATCAGCTGTGCTTGATTAGCATCCAACTGCATTGCCCTGCCAAAAACTGCATAACATTATCATCAAAATCATTCAAAACCAGTCAAAACATTAAAGCAATCAGTATCTCACCATCGAGTTCGATGCAAGCTCTTCTCTCCAGGAGTTTCTTTCAGCTCCACAATATAATCTCTAACCTCATCCCCAGTAACCATTCCACTCTGCTCCTCCTTGAGAGTCAACAACTTAACCTTATCCTTCCTCATAAACTTCACAAACTCCTCATAGCTCATTTTCGGCAACGCCTCAAAACTCCGATCAAATTCCTCTTCTTCAGACAAATTCACCCCAAACAATTGCTCTGGAACATAGAGCTTCCCTCTAAATTCCCTCAATATATCCTTCAAATACACATCACCCTCCAATTTTTCACCCCCATTTTCCTCAACAACCTCATTTTCCCTCCCCTTATCCTTCGAAATCAGCTTCTTCAACACCTCAAAAGCTCCAAAACGATATCTTTTGTTCTTTAAATTCTCTATTTCAGTCGAAGTAAGCACTTCATCTCCAATTCGAAACCTGGGTTCTACTTGGCTAGGGTTTTCCTTCAAAACCCTAGTCACAAAATCCTCATTATTCAAATTCGTCGTATCCTCAGTCGATGATTTACAGGCTAAAATGGGTCGCGGACGAGTGAATTGAACTTGAACCCTAGAAAATTTAGTAGCATTGAATTGCTGAGAATGTTTCCGAATTCGAATTGAAGCAATGCTTGAGCAGCTTAGAATTTTGATTGGATATGGTTGATAAACCCTAGTAGGCAAAAGACATTCTCGTGTGCACATAGTTTGGGGGTTGAATTGGGGCATAAGTTCATCAAATTAGGGTTTATGTGAAAGAAATCGGACTTCCTTATCGGGGTATTTCTGCAACCACAGTGGACACCATGTAAGCAGCTGGGGAAGAAGACAACTAGAAGCTAACTGTTGGCTAAGACATTTTATAAGTAGTGTTTTATGGAGTTTATAGATAACACAATTAACAAATGTACCAATTACACTTTATTAAGAATTGAATTCAAATAGGATCAGAAAAAAAAAAAAAAAAAAAAAAAAGAATTGAATTCAAATACTATTTTTTAAAAGTTTTTCCTTCACTCTTCTCCTTTTCTTTCATTCTCTTTCTTCAGATGTCAACTGTAAATTTTTACCGGTGATAAGCCTTAAAAAACTTTTTAATTGCTTTTAATAAATGGATCTCATCTTTATGATGGTGTTTAATCAATTAGGTTTATTTTCTTTGCTTGTTCGTGTGCTAAACATTGAAGATTTAGGGGTTTATTTTCTTTGCTTGTTCGTGTGCTAAAGATTGAAGATTTAGGGGTTTTAACGTCTCTGAAAGTATCTAGAAGGTCATACGAGTTTTTTCGCCCAAATAACTACTCATTCGTGGGTCTCAAACTGAATTAGTGCTAACTCGCAGATTGTATTGCTTCAGATGAAGTTTTTTTATTAAGGTGATTGATCGAATCAACGATGTTACTAGTTCTAAGGTGATTTGTACTAGTGTTAAAATTTTAGATTTCCTAGGAATTATTTGTAAGTGTCGTTTGGCTATCTTTCATTAATGAAATCCTTTTTCTTCTCGTCAAAAAAAATAATTGAACTAAAATAAACTTTTTTTTTTAATAGCAAAAATATTTCATTAATTAAAAGTCATACGACATCTACAATAGAGAAGGAAATTAGGTACTGAACTAAAATTAGGCTGAAGAACATGTCCTTAGATGAACTCGTATTGCTAAGAGCGTTTTGGGTTGATAAAGTGTAAATTCCCAGGGGTAAAAGCGTAGGTAAAACACATACTATTTCAAAAAAAAAATAGAGGAAACTGAATGCGTGAATAAACAAACAAGTACGTCGTTTTAGCAATTAGTATTAGGTACTCCTGGAGTACCTAGTATTGTACTCTAGGGCCCAGCCCAATCTAATAAATGGGATAAAAACCCAGTTAACGAAATTAAAGCATATAAGGCTAAATTTGACAAAATAACAACTTAGGAAAAGCAAATAACCTGAAACTAACTCCATATACTTGTAAAGGTGGATGAAAAAATATCAAATCATTTCATTTTATCTCCACTATCTTCACTTTCTCTCTCCATTTGAACTAGTCCTGCAAATTTTTTGTCCACTAAAGGTCATATTCAACTTCAAGATCATGTCCAAAATCAAAATAAATTATCGAAATGCATATCAAGGGAAGTAAGTATTTGTTTAATTATTTAAAAAGTATTTTGCAATTGTACAATTATAACATGAAATTTGCAATTAAGACAAGCAAGTATGGCAAACCAATTAAATGATAATGAAAAACTAGATGAAAGTATATTTAAAAACAAAAATTATAGATAAGTTCTTGTTATTTTGATCAATTTTGTTTCTAGGCTTATGTTATTCAGCATTGCATATTATGTTATTTTGATTGTGAAGTCAGATCTGTATTTCTAAAATGTGTTTTAATTTGTTACTGTCATTCTTTAAAATGATTATATTTTGCTCAATATATAATGTTATTCTACTTGAAATCTAATGTCATTTTGGGTTTATCATCATGTGTTGTTTTAGTCTTTGAAAGTAGATTTGTTTTGACGGAATTATTTAACGCTCTTCTAAAACATAATTTTTTAATTTGTTTCATAATTTAAATGATATATTTTGTTTTAAGCGTAATGTTATTTTATTTTTATCATGTGTTATTTTAACGAAATCCTAACTTTGTGTTGTTTTGTTATTTTAATGTATCCTTTATTATTCTACTTAACCTTTGAGTTAAGTTGTTATTTTTTTTAATATCTTATGTTATTTTCAATAGAAGTTTAAGTTATTCAGTTATCAAGTTATGTGTTATTTTAGGTCGAACTTTGAGTTACTTCATACACAAATTGATGTTATTCTATTTAAAGTCTATTGTTATTTTGTTTTAAACATTTGATATTCAAATAAATCGTATCTTCTGTTATTATATTTTAAATTAGTGCCGTTTTTAATTTTCAGAAATTACAATTGGAATAAAAAAATTGATTGGGTTCACAAAAATTAAAAGAAAATAGAGGAAAAAAAGAATAGCATGAAGAAAAAGAGGAAAACAAGGGAGAAGAAATTCACAGAAATTGAAAGAAAATACAGGAAACAAAGTATAGCGGAAGAAAAAGGGGAAAACAGAGAAGATGGAAGGGATAACAGAACGACGTCGTTTGACCCTGGAGTATCATGCTCACGATACTCCAGGAGTAGGGTAGAAATTGTACTTTACATCATCACCGTACTTTTTTTTTTTTTAAGTTTAATTTTCCAGCTAGTACTCCCTCTATTATCCCTAATTATCGAATACGGTCCTTAATTTGTAGCGTTTTAGTCCCTTAACTATTGAGTGAAATAATTTAGTCACTCAACAATCAAGGAGTATTATTTCAGTCCAAATAGTTTAGAAACCTTGCCTAATCATTAATAGTTTATGGATTATCAATCAATCAATTAACCTATACTAAAAGAGAATCTAAAGTGACACTTGTCACGATGTTATAAAAAAATTTCCCGCCTTTTTTTTTTTTTTTTTTACCAAATTTTAATAACTTCCATTTTATAACCTACCATAATACTTATTTCCATTTTGACAACACATTTTATCCAATCATACTCAATTATTTTTTTATTATTATTTTTCAACATATATTTTATGTACTGTACTATAAATCTTTTGGTTACAAATATACTAACATAGTTTAAAATTAAGGTATTGACATATATCATCATCTAAGATTATCACAATATTATTATAATTTTTTTCTTCCAACTTAAAATTTATTTTAATTAAAAATCAATTAACCTATACTAAAAGCGAATGTAAAGTGACACTTGTCACGATGTTATAAAAAAAATTTCCCGCCTTTTTTTCTTTTTTTTTTTTTTTTTTTTTGCCAAATTTTAATAACTTCCATTTTATAACCCACCATAATACTTATTTCCATTTTGACAACACATTTTATCCAATCATACTCAATTATTTATTTTTTATTATTATTTTTCAACATATATTTTATATACTATAAATTCTTTAATTACAAATATACTAACATAGTTTAAAATTAAAGTATTGACATATATCATCATCCAAGATTATCATAATATTATTATAATTTTTTTCCTCCAACTTAAAATTAATTTTAATTAAAAATAGGAATAATAATTTTGGTAGGATAATTTGTATAAATCTTACAAATATACATAACGTCTATAAGAACAACTTAACAAAATCATTTTATTATATTATACTCCTCCGTTTTTTTATAAGTTATGGTTGGATTTGCACATTTGTTGAGACACAACTTTGACCATCAATATCTTTGATTAGAGACTAATATTTTGTTACAATTTTATTTTTTTTTTGATAAATTTGTTGAATTTACACCATTCTTTATAAAATTTGTGAGTTAAGAGTACAATTAGGTACTCAATTCTTAAAAATTTCACCTTTTAGGTACTGAATTTTTTTTACTTTGCTTTTGAGTACTGAGTTAAGAATTCCGGCCAAAAAAAATAAATCAGCCAAAGAATTCAGTACCTTGGGTTAAAGAATTTATTACCTTTGGTTAAGAGTATGTGGGCCCCATACCTAATTAAAAAATTAATATTTTTAAAAATAAAAAATAAATAAATGTATTAAATTTGACTAAGAAACTAGCCGTTAGTTTCTCTATTTAAAGGGGCATGAACCTGGCAGAATCACCATTGTTGCTTAACAAAATTCATCCAAAACCATTTGTCCCTGGTTCAATTTCAATAAAAAAAAAAAACAAAACCAGCAAGACAGAATCTGTAGCAGTTTAACCAGCAACAAAATTCATCAAAAAAGATTCATTGACCATGTTTATTTAGGCAGAAATTCTTCAAGGTTTTCCCAGATTTTGTAGAAAAAAAAAATAAAAAAAAAAACACAGAAACAGAAGTTGCTTCCCCTGCTGCTGGTACTTCAAGTCTGCCCCTGCTGCTGCCTCTTTTGTCCAGCCACAAAATCAGCCATTGTTGCTTAACAAAATTCATCCAAAACCATTTGTCCCTGATTCAAATCCAACCCTTGCACATTGTAAACAACATGAAATCAACATTCTGCTACAATGGAACTTCCAAACTATGACATGGGCCACTAAGTCAAATGATCAACCAAAACTTATAAAGACTAAATAATTAGGAACAACTTACAACAAGTTCATATCATTACCACTTCAGGCCCAAAATTCTTAGTTTAACGGTTCAAAATTCATACCCCCTAATTGTATGTAATTTGTATGAACCTAGTTCTGGAAATTCAGCCTCATAGAAGGATAACTTTGAATATTCCGTGAGGACACAAATTCAGCATATATACACAATTTCACCAAAACCTCCCCTGTTTTAGTGCGAAAAACATATAAACTAATCCAACCCTTGCGCATTGTAAACAACATGAAATCAACATTTAACAACAACACTACCTTAATCCAACAACAAAGCAACAAATTTAACACAAAAAAAATACAACCAATCGACATCATCAATTTGTTCAAAAAAAAAACCCAAAATATTGAAAACCCTAGGTCGCAACAAACATCAACACATGGGCAAAAAATCCAAAATTTATATCAAATTAACAACAAAAACGATGAGAAATTGAGCTTACCTCAAAAAAATGGCGGCTTTTGGTGTCGTTTTCCCCAGAATCGAGCCCAAGATTGCTCGTTGTTATTCGAAAGTGACGCAGCAATGTTTCCAAAAATGGGAAAGAATAAAGGAGCAAAAAAGGGGAATAAAGAAAAAGAAAGGGAAAAAAATGGGTTGACACGCGAATTTTTAATCGGGTGGGGCCCACATACTCTTAACCAAAGGTACTAAATTCTTTAACCCAAGGTACTGAATTCTTTGGCTGATTTATATTTTTTTGGCCGGAATTCTTAATTCAGTACCCAAAAGTAAAGTAAAAATAATTGAGTACCTAAACGGTGAAAAAAGGAAGAATTGAGTACCTGATTTTGTGCTTAACTCAAATTTTGTTGTAAAGTTTAATTATGTTCGTGCATGGCACGGGATTTAACCTAGTTTCAAACTATATGGCAAAATTATTTTACTTTTTTTTTTTTTTACAAAGTGGCAAGATTTAATTATTATTTTATTATACTAGTTTAATAACGGGGGAGTATTTAATTAAAATTTGGGACTATTGAACTTTGAAAGTGACCTTGCACTCTCAAAAAAATAAAAAAAAAAATAAAAAAACAACGATCTCCATTGTTAAGTTTGGGTTGGATTTAGATTAACATCTTATCAAAGGAGAGGAAAATCGGCAAAGCTAACATCAGGTGAAGGTAATTTTATCCTCAATTCATCCTATTTTAATTAATTTTCAATTTATGCCCCCTTGAATTTACGTAAATTGAGTTAGGATTTATTTTTTTATAGTTTTGATGTTGAATTTTTTGCTGTTAATTTACTTAAATTATACTTATATATGATGTTCTTAACAATCGTGTAAAATTTTGTGAGGTATAGTTTGAATTTTACAGAGTTTGAGGCCATTTTTTTTTATATAGTTGATTGATTTAAATTATGCTTATTTATGATGTTCTTGACACGACAAATAATAATTGAAAGACGAATAAATTCAAAAAATTCATGTTATTCATATTACGGTTCCTAATTGATATAATTATATGTGTAGGTAATTGGTATTTGGGTTCTTAACGTACCCGTGACAAATATTTTGAGCATATGAACTTTTTGGATGATCAACAACAATATGAAGAACATACCCATAACAGATTTTTTATTTATAATTGCTATTTTTATTTCTTATAAATTTTCATAGAATGAATTTTCGCATATTTTTTTTATACAAATATGTAGATACATTAAATGCAAAATCTCAAACTATTAACTGATTTAGTTTTTCGGCATTTTTCATGTAATTATAAGCATTTTTTAGGGAAGTCCTTAAACTATTGATGACTAAGTAGGCGAATTCCCTAAACTATTGCCAAGTATACATCTCAAGTCCCTAAATTATTGATGACTAAGCAGGGTCCCTAAACTATTTGGCCGGAAATATTACTCCTTGGTTTGCCACACTCAATAGTTGAGGGACTAAAATGCTACAAATACGTTACTTTAGGAAATGTATTTGACCTTAACTCGATATATACGAGTATAAAAATAAAGATATACTAATATATGTTTTAGGTTTCTGTCTTAAAGACCTTAAAAAGTCAGCCAAATAAAAAATATTAGGCACAGAAGAAGTAGGTCTGAGTGTCATATATCTTGATATATTTTTGGAAAGAACTAGTTTTAATTGTTGGTATTATTCTGTACTCCCAATATACGTTGTGTTGCCTTCAATATATCTTGATATATTTTTGAAAAGAACTAGTTTTAATTGTTGGTATTATTCTGTACTCTCAATATACGTTGTGTTGCCTTCAATGATGCGATAATTGCACAAAAACAATTACATTTTGGGCTAGTAATCTATATCTATATGTATACTTATATATTAAAAAGCGTTTCTAAACCTAAAACAGAATATGTGTCACGTGTCACCCTTTTATGATATACATTTAAAAAATGCTTACATCATGACTTGTACTTGAGACCAATAAGTACTCCGTACTACGATACAAGTCTTACCACCTTAGTTAACCATATATTGTGTAATTTATCCATCAAAATTATAGTTAACTTGGATAAGAGATTAGTCCTTAATTGTACTATTTGTTACATATCATAGGATAATTTAACAACTTATATTAAATTTGTTACAAATATTGGTTCTCCTAATACAAATTTTTATTCAAAATATTACATTTTGAAGATAATTATCAATACATTAAGCAAAAACAATCAAGCGTTAATTACAAACTAACAACTCAAGACATCGTCCGAGCCACACACTAGTTGTCTTTTATTTTCATCTTTTGAACATACTAATGCGCTCCCCCAATCTTGCTAAATAAATCTCAGTCAGTGTGTTGTGATCTTTAACCAAGTAGGAATTATTCAATTTCACAAACGTCAAATAGCCTTATAATAAATTAACGCTCCCCTTGATCCATTTATGCATCACTCACTCATTTCGTCAGGTCCACCAAGCGGCAAATCGTCATCACTCTCATCTTTGGATTCCATGTGAATTATGATGTCAAAATCTTCTGTTTGAATCTTCATGGGAGATTTATCATAAAGCTGAAATTGTAAAGTATTCTGCAAGTGTTCAACAGGACCTTTGCCAAAATGTGAGCTTACATATAAGTCCACATCAATAAAGAAGGGGTAACAGATTGGCATGACAACATAAGACCTAGAAAGCTCTACTTCTTTCCGTGTATGTTCAACTGGGAAGCTCCCTTCTGTCTTCTTGGAAGCTACTCTACGAATAAAATCTATATTGTCTTCAGGCTTGTCAAAAAGAACTTTTCTAAAGTACTTTTTGTCATAGTCGCTCGTATAGTCAAACATACCAGACCAAGCAACAATTCTTCCATAATAATTAGCAAAACCAACACCTATACCTTTGCACAGCAAAATACACTTCACTTCCATCCTTACTGACCGATCAAAGTTTGCATAATGCACCACACAATAGCCAAGATGTCGCTCACCTAGAATTACAGCACCCATGAGCCTATCATATTCACGATCAGCTTGCTCACTATCTGCATAAGAATATTTGATAAACGTTGTACTTCCGTTCTTAATTAAGAGACCTTAAGGTTCACTCTTATCTCAAAATCTGCATGGGAGTCCACAAACCCAGGACTACTAATAGATAACAGTTTACTACCATTCACCAATCTATCAGGATTATTGTCATCTCTCTCAAAAATAGTAAGACTTCTAGTGCCATAAGAAACTGTTATTGTGCCAGAGATACTCAGATCTTCATCATTTTTCCGACCAAGAAAAACAGAAAACACTTCCAACAAACAGTCTCCCGGCTCACAAACTTGTGACAGAAAACACGGCTGAGGTGTCAAGTATTCTTTAGGAGAGTATTGGTATTGCAAATCAAATGGTTCACGCCATCTAACACTCAAAAAGACATTTTCATAAGAAATAAAGCGTAGTTGAAGTTCATCACAATTATAATAGGCACTTGAATGAGTTCTACCCTGTGCAGCCCTAAATTCAGCGGTGCCAACAAAAAATTGCTTATTTGTAACTTCCTCGATTGTATTTGCTTCAATTATCAATGATGCATATGCAGGCACAGCCAATAATTTTCTAGTAAGATTTATAATTGGTTCATCATTTGCATCAAAAACAACCGGTATAGACTGATTTGATGGTACCTTCAAGAGCGTACTCCAAGTATCCCAAGTTGTGCGTGCATAAGTTTTGGCATGATGAGCAACAATAGTTCCAGAAGCCAAAATGCTATTCTTGGAATCTTCTTGGGTTGCAGTTTGTTTTGGAAAGTCCCATAATCCAACATGTACTTCAGCCACAAGTGCACATGCTAGTGCAATATAGTTCACCCTGACATGCCCACAATCTCCCTCAACTACAGAACACTTGCCTTGTTCATAGTCATTGTCTGTTGTACTGTCCAGAAGAACATTGCCCTTGGCAACCACATCATTATCATGAGCCCTATCCTTAAGAAGTATAGATATTACGGGTTTTCGAATTGACAGCACAATGTCAAGACCTGTGAGCAACAAGCCTTGTCCGGCTTCATAAATAACCTCAGCATGCTCTAGACTCCGTTTATAAAGCTGGTGGGTTGTATTTGGATCATTGTTCTCAAAAACGAAAACATCACCATAAACTTCACATGGCCAGGAATTGGGGTAGACGGTGACTGAGAAAACATCAACCATCGGTCGTGCCATGCTAGTGACTGCATTAGACAAGGAAAGGTAAAGACAGTCAGCATAATGCAGAGTAATTAATACCAGAAATAGAATAGCGTCGGAAAAATAATAACAAATTCATAGCCAATTTGAAATTTCACAAATCTAAATCAGTAACAACAACAAAAGACATAGATCTCAGTCAACATTATCAAAACATGAACAATATCATAAAAAAATCAAATTCAATACAGAACTATCATCACCAGCAATTATCATAAAATTAACAATATCATAACAGAAATAATAATTTTAAAATAATAAATCATCCAAAAATTATCAAATTTGAATTCTTATCACAGAACATCAAACTCATATATTATATGCTAAGATTCAATCAACAATAGTTATAATTTTTCAATAATTATAATGGATACTTCAATAATTGAACCCAAAACTAATTTTATTATTCCTCCTAAGAAATAAATAAATAAATAAAAACTAAATATACTAATAAATTAATTCAACGATATTGTAAAATCAAACCCTTGGTGATTGACAAAGGATCAAAGGAAAAAAAAAAAAAAAAAAAAAAAAAAACTCACCTCAAAACCAGCGTCAATGGAGAAGAGAAACTCGGAAAACGCCGCTTCAAGGCACAAGCGTAAAAGAAAAAAGTTTCCAACCAACCTCCGTACGAAACTACGAACTAAGAGCAACGAAGTACGAAGTACGAACTACTTAAAGTAAAGTCTTATGCGGAGTATATAAAAGACTTTAAAAAAAACTAAAAAAACAAAACCAAAAAAAAAAAAAAAAAAACCTTAAGTCCTTAACTGCGCTTAATAGGCAATGGCGGACTTTCAGTAGGGGCCTATGGGCCTGGACCCTGGTACATCCTAACATAAAAAGTCCAAACAAATTAATAAAGCCCAACTCAAAAATCTATAGTACTATATAGAGGGAAATGACTTTTTTGTCGAAAAAGGTTTCTTTCCTAAAATATCCTTCTATTTTGTAAAAATTACGGAGTACATTATTTAGATATAATACGAGAGCATGGAATATTGGAGTGGAATTCTTAATATTTGACTTATTAGTTACGAAGTATTAGCAATATATAACTTGCCTTTTTTTTTCCAATAGTATTTGTATCATTATCCATCAATTTCCAAAGATTAATGAAGTTTTCAAATTTTAAAAGAAGAAGTAATTGTAGCACAACTTAAATGTGTAAGTAGCTATCTAGATTTAAGTTATAGGGGAATTTTCACTTTCTCCTCCTTTCTCTCTCCAAAACCCTAGCCTCCGGCCATGTTCTTTTGAGCTTTTGGGCAGAGCGAAACAGATTTCAGCAGAGCAGATTGAAGCAGAGCAGGGCAGAGCAAAGCAGAGCAGGGCAGAGCAGATTGAAGCAGCTATTTTTAAGTACTATTTTTAAGTAGAGCAGAGCAGATTGAAGCAGAGCAGAGCAGATTTCAGCAGAGTAAAGCAGCTCTAAAGAACGGGGCCTCCATTGTTGATTTTTGAAGGGGCTTTTATCGATTTTAGTCGATGGAAAGCCCCAATCCTTGTTTTTTTTTTTTTTTTTTTATTATTATTGTTTTTTAGGTTTATAATAATGCTTCCTCCTTTTGGGAGGATCTTTTCTCCCTCGAAAGAAAGGGTTTCCGATCTCCTTCGAAAGACAAGGGTCTTGTCTTTTGACCTCCTTCGAAAGACAAGGTTTATCTCCTCTTTTCGAGGTGGAAATTTCTTAGTTTTAAATCCATGGTAGCAGATCCAATGGATTGTCGTGGAATTATTTCGTTGGTGAAAAAGTTATCAAGTTTTCGAATACGGATAGATGAATCAGAAGGAAAACATCCTCACGACTACAAAGGGATCGTTAGATTGTCTCTCCAACAAAGCTGTAATTTTCAGTGATATAAGCGGGAGATGCTCCGCGGTACAAGATCTACTTGACAATCGTAGTTTTTGTGAAGGAAAATTCAATTTGATTCAATATCTTATGTATTTGTTGACGTCGAATTTCTATTGTAGATGTCGTATGACTTTTAATTAATAAAATACTTTTGCTATTCAAAAAAAAATGTGTAAGTAGTTAAAATCTAAATCATGTAATTTTTTTTTTAATTGTTGATAAAAAGAATACGCAATCCATTTCTTCTATAAAAATAGTTAAAATTAGTATAGTTCCCGTGCGATGCACGTTTTAAAAATCAAAATTTTAATTTCATAAAACCGAAACAAAAATAATTCAATTAGTAAAAATCGACATATTTACATTAATAAATTAATTATTAAAATTCTATTCACCAATCACCACAATAATGGTCAATATATTTTTTACGTTATGTGATATGAAAATTATTTTATTGCTGTTATTTTATTCCTTTTTATTTTTTATATTGTTATTTTATTGATTAAAAATGAATAAAATATACACTACACAAGCTAAGGAAAGTCGTTTCCTGTTACCCGTAGTCTATAGAGGGATTCAAAACTAAAATTTTATCGTCATATTAATCGGTTCAATAGTTATGCGATATAATATCTATTTACCCATTATAATCACCAAATCTATAGACATAATTTTATCATTATGCAGTATACAAGCTAAGTACCCTTACATCTTATCTACCTATACATATTTTGTCTAAGCATTGTGCTAAAAAAATACATAACAGTCGCACAACCTAAAACTGAGTGAATATACAACACAAATATGTATGTATAGATCGATATTGATAAATAATATATGAATTAGCTAGTAATAACAAAAAAATTTATATGCGGCCTGTAGTACCATGCGGCAGGGGTTACTTGAGTTTCTCGGTCAGGGGTTACTTGAGTTTCTTGGCCAGGGGTTACTCGAGTTTCTCGGTCAGGGGTTACTCGAGTCACAATTTTTTGAATGCGGCCTGACCGAGAAACTCGAGTAAGCCCTGATTGAGAAACTTGTGTAACCTCTGACTGTGTAACCTTTAACTGAGAAAACCCCTCGAGTAACCCTATTTCCGAACCCCTCAAGTAACCCCTAATCGAGTAACTCAAGTAACCTCTGACCAAGTAACTCAAGTACTCCTGACTGAAAAATTCAAGTAAGTCCTGACTGAGTAACTCAAGTAACCCTTGACTTAAAAACTCAAGTAACCCCTGATCGAGTAACCCTGACTGAAAAACTTAAGTAACCCCTAAAAAAAAAATCGAGAAACTCCTACCACATGGTGTGGCTTGTTGCACCAAAAATTGCTATAGTAATAATGGACTTATTTACATTAACAAATTAATTATTAAAGTATTCACTAACAATAATGGCTAATACAAATATTAAGGAATGTGATATGAATAGTACTTTGTCAATTGTATTTCTTATATTTTACTTCTTTTTATTTTTTATATTGTTATTTAATTAATTGAAAAACGAATAACTTGTGAAAAAAAAACGAATAAATTATTATGTTCTATTAAAGAAAAGTTATTTTCTATCTCCTATGGAGGGAATTAAAACTAAAATGTTCTTGTCATATTAACCGGTTTAGGGTGTGTTTTATTCACCAAATTTGAACTTTTCTCTTTTAATTATTAGACCTTAACATCTTATTAAAACTTATTCTAGTTGTAATTTGTACTTGGGTAACCTTTATTAAAACTTATTAAAACTAAATTGAATATATATGAACTTAATTGAATTTATTACGCTTGAAATAAGTGAAAATAAAATGAACAAAACAGACCCTGGTAGTTGTACAACCTAATATCTATTTTACCCGTCATATTTACTAAATCTTTTTTGTTTTTTTTTGAAGAATACTAAATCTTTATTGACACAATAAGAACCTTATATCTTACCTACATATATACTTTCCTAAGCATTGTGCCAAAAACATTTACATAGTAGTCATACGATAACCAATTGATTGAATATATAACATAAATATATAGATGTAGATCAATATTAAAAACTAACATTTGAATAAAAGATACGGAGTATTTATTACTTGTAAGATTTATATGAATGAAAGACATAATTCATCATCAACTAATCAATCATGTTGGTAATGTATTTTTTTATGACCTGAATTCTTATAAATATGAATGAATAAAAATTATAGCATATAGGTATGAATAAATTATATAAAATTAAAATATGATGAAAATTCAATGATTATAAAAATGAGAATAATCTTCATATATTAGATACAGAGTAATATTTAATTATTAATTATAGAATTGTATGGAATATTTAATAGTTATCATGTATGCATAAATATTTGGAATTCATTTTCAATATTTAGAATCAATCAAATTTATTTTTAAATCTATCAAATTTATATATTAAAAACTAACTAAAAATATTATGTAATATATTATGAAAATTTTACATATCATATTACAGATATAAGATAAGCGAGTCATAAAATGACACTTGTTAGCTCTCATTGATCCACTTGTCATAAATTTTGGCATAAATTTTTCTTATTTAATACTTCGTATATAGTACTACAAATATAAGATATAAATCGAACACTCAAAATTACCCGACTCAAACACTCAAAATTGACACCTCTAAGATCCACATTGATTCGCTTGTCATAATTTTTTGGCACAATTTTTGCTAACAATTAACTCATCTTCTTTGCAAAATGATTAATAAGTAATTAGCATTTATTTATCATATAATCTCAAAATATCCAAAGTCATATATTTAATCGATCATTATTTATCTCATAATGTTTGGAGGGAAAAAAAAAAGAAATACTCAGCTCGATTCCTTAAACAGTCGTTTAACGCAACTACTTAGTAAAGAATTAAGAAGAATATCATACATTAATAATACTTTGAAACATGAATAGATGATATGCATTAAGTCATATACAAAATACAGATATAAATAGAGTAATATTTTTATTTTCAATTATTTACCATAATTGAAGTTATTTACTTTATCTCGATCTTTTGTGCTTCATATATATATATATTGTTTTATTATATTAAGAGAAGCGAATCAGAGACAGACATTTGGCAGCTTCACATTGATCCGTTCTCTTTTAGTATAGTAATATATAGATTATTATTAATCAAACATAATCTTTTCTTATTATTGCACACGCATTGCATGTAAACATAAAGCTGTTGTATCTGCACAGTTGTCAAGAGTATTGCTAACTGTTTAGTGCTAACTAACCTCACATTCAAACAAAAAAAAAAAAAGTTGCCTCCACGGCTCCACATGACCCACAATCTCATATACAGAGTACTTTGTACATCTAGTAGTATCACATTTTTTTTCACTTTCTTATTTATTTGTCAGAGTTCACATTTTAATTAATTTAGAATCTAATTTTAATTACTGTATAAAAAGTATAGTAAGCAACTATCCATACTATATTTTATACCGTACCCTTTGTTACATTAAACTTCCTATTTTAAACTAATTTTATCTCACAAAAAAAAAGAAGTACAAAGAACAATATAAAACATAGAGAGTAAAATATATTTCGTATTAAACTATTAATCATATAAACTTGAATTATGGGGTTGGGTGGGCTATAGGGTTTTAAGTAAAGCTGTTTTAAAAGTACTCGTACTAGTTTTCCTTGATTCTTCCATTTCTCAAATATGATTTTCACACACCAAAGTTTGTATCGATTCTCTGTAAGTTTTTTCAATTTTTTATTTTTTAATTTTTGAAAACAGTTGAAATTACATAAATTAAACTAAGTTTACAACAAATAAAAGGAAAGTAACATAAGTTACTATAGGCATAAGAAGCTCTTACACAATTCCAACTAAGGTCATTAACAACAATTACCTTTAAACTATTACAACGAGTGAAGACAACACAAGCATACCTACATACATTTAAACATACAATGAGACTATTGATAGAACAAGGGAAGTTGGTGATGAAGCCTCTCTTCCTTTGCTGCGGCTAATCGCCGTTTTGTGTTGTGCAAGGTCTTTTCTAACATATAATTAAAAGTCTATGAATGTTGTTGAAATGACAGAGACGACCCAAAATCAGCATGCCTTATCCTAAGGGACTTTAATAATTCAAATGGATAAAATCCTCTTGTGATATTTGCTTCATGCATGTCAATTACATTTCTTTGCGAGCGATTTGACAAAACCATATCTTATATATATTCTCATACAATAATATGTCATACAATAATATATATATATATATATTATATGTTATAAAAATAAGAACATTTGTAGTATAAAAAAGTAACTTTAAATATTTTTAGGATCCATAATACCACGTCTGCTACG